AAATGATATAATTAACGTTTTATATGAAAAAAACGATATATATGTCGTTGTAGTTATTATTTGAACTGGAGCGATTTCAAACTCATCAAATTTTTACTAAAACGATATCAACATCGTTATGTGATTTCATGGTTTGTTACAGAACGATATCATTATCGTTTCAATACAACTTTATGAATATTGATATCGTTTTAGTTTAAATTATAACTAAAATGACATATATATCATTTTAGTTTATATAAAATGATAATTATATAATTTCTGCTAAAAATGACGATTCAACCGTCCATGACAACTCGACATGTATTTGACATATGTGGGATGATCGAAATATGTCATCAAGTGAGTTCAATCTTACTCGAAAAAACTATGGGAACATTTGTGTTTCCACAATTGTATATAACCTTTGAACTATTCCGATGGGAAGAAGTATTTTCGTTCGTTCTTTCTAACCATTCGAGTGGCATCAATCCACTTGATGACGTCTTTCGATTGTTCTACGTATATTGAAGGTACCATCGAATCGTTATTCTTAATCAAAATGATATGATAAAATTTTATATGAAAAGAAATGATATCTATGTCGTTTTAGTTATTATTTGAACTGTAACGATTTCGAACTTGTCAAATTTGTACTAAAACGATATGGAAGTCATTATGTGATTTTGTGGTTCGCTACATAATGATATCATTTTAGTTTCAATACAATTTTGATGACATTGATATCATTTCAATTTAAATCATAACTAAAACGACATATATATCATTTTAGTTTTTATAAAATGATAATTATATCATTTCTGTTAAAAACGAAGGTTCGATCGTCCACATTCACCCAACATGCATCCGACATATGTAAAACGATCTGAATAGGTCATTAAGTGGGTTTGATCTCACTCAAAGAAACTGTGAGAACATTTCTTTTCCCATGATTGTATACAACCTTCGAACTATTCCAATAAAAAGAAAGTATCTTTGTTCATTTTTCTAAGCCATTCGAGTGGCATCAACATGCTTGATTACCTCTTTTGGTCATCTTATGTATGTTGAAGACATGTCAAGTTGCCGTGAATAGTCAAATAGTTATTTTTTGCCTAAACAATATAATTGTCATTTTATATGAAAATAAACGATATTTATGTCGTCATAGTTATGATTTGAACTGAAATGATTTCAAACTCGTCAAATTTCTACTAAAAAAATATGGACGTCATTATATTATTTCATAGGTTTGATACATGACGATATCACTCTCGTTATGTATAAAAGGAAACGATATCTAAGTCGCTTTGGTTATGATTTAAACAGGACGATATTAATATTGTTAAATTACTAAAACAAAGATGAAAGTTTGGTCCCTTGGACGAGCTCGCTAGACTCTGTATGTTGTGCTTGCTGTACAAGTTTCTTGATGTAATGAATAATATATCATTTTATTTTATCTATAACAACTTCAATGTCGTTATGAAAATCTATAAAACAATGTATTTTTCGTATTGGAATAACGTCAATATTGTTTTGTGTCTCATTAACAATTTCAATGTCGTTATTAGGATGGCAAAAAAATCCGCCCTGCCCCGTCCCGAACGGGGCAAAAAAATCCACCCCGAACGGGGCTGGGCGGGACTTGGCATCCTAAGAAGAAAAAATGAAAAATAAATAAAAATAATTTTATTTCTAAACAATTTACCCGTTAAAAACTCATTTTAAATTTGTATATTATTCTCTAATAATAACATAATTCGAAACTTTGAAAATGTAAAAAAAATTAAATGGGGCAACAAATTGCCCCGCCCTGCCCAGTCTAAGGTGGGACCAAGCGCGGGCGCTGGACGGGGCAGTGTTTGGGCCAACGGGGCTGGTCTACGCCCTGTTGCCATCACTAGTCGTTATGTGAATTTGTGCATTTTTTATAATGGAACGATATCAATATCATTTTGTGATAAAACAGTATGGATGTCGTTATATTGTTTCGTGGCTTTGATAGTAATGGTTTGTTATCGTTTTTGGAAATTGCACAAGAAAGTCTCGACTGAAAGAAGACGGAAGTTTGGGGACCAAAATGTCAACCCAAGAAAATTTGTTTACTACTCAAGAGCAAATGGTCCCTTGGAGACGCGCATGGCTCCCTACGTTGTGCTCGTGCTGTGTGAAATTTTTGGCATAATGAATTCTATATCATTTTATTGATCTATAACTACTTTAATGTCGCTATGAAAATTAATAAAATGTCTTTCGTATTGGAACAACATCTATATCATTTTGTGTTTCAGGTACGGTTCAATGTCGTTATGTGAATAGGTGTAATATTCATACTAGAACAACATCAATATCGTTTCGTATTTCGAGAATTATTTTATTATCATTATGTGAATCGGTCCAATTTTCGTATTGAAATGACATCATTATTGTTTTGTATCTCATAAATGATTTCAATTTCGTTATATGAATCAGTACATTTTTTGTACTAGAACGACATCAATATCGTTTTGTGTCTCAGGAATGAAGTTTATGTCGTTACATGAAGTAGTAGTTATATTTTGTCATAAGGACCCAAATGTTGTTTTATTGATCTGGAACGATATCAGTATCCTGAATATGTATAATACTTTAACTCGAAAGTTTCAAAATCCTGAAAATATGTAAACTTCAATTCAACTACTCTAGACAAATAAAATAAAATAATTGCAGAATATCCTCAAAACATCAAATGAAATAATAAAAAACAATTTAAGGATTGAAGTTTCATACCAACAACTCTAAAGCCAATTTTTTACTGTCACATCGGTACACGATTCAAGCGAATTGCATTTACATCCATCTCTGCTTGCATAAATTCTATGTGCTTCAAAGTAATATTTGACAATTAAATCTTCAGAATTATTGTGCAGTTACATTAATTCTCAATACTAAACTAATATAGTACCTAACAAATATAATATTAGTCAACCTTACTCATATCTTTGCCGAGGAATATCTTTCACCTTCACATATTTAAACTTCTCCTTGATATATTTGTAATCACTTGAGTAATATTTGAATGTGAATATTACTTTACAAGTAGTCTTGTTATTATGCCACGTGAGCATTGGATTTCAATGCCTTGTACAATTCCCTGCACAATAAAACAAAGTAGAAGCACAGATCTAAAAAGGTTGAACCCCAATCTTAAGGGTCTCCCACCGTCCCTACCCTAGAGTATCGTGAGGGAGGTAAATCGCAGGTTATGCCTCCAAGGGTACAGGGTGAAAGGCTGCTTGTACACTTGCACTTACCCAAGAGCCAAATCCATATTTCAGGATTCGAACCCTTGACGCGGTAGCCTCAAATAAAGTTGGATTTCTCCACTTTCCCCTTTTACCACTTGGAAATGTGCCCTGGGGGCAAGTAGAAGCACAGATCTCTTTCTAGATGAGGGAGACAAACAACACTTTTGGCTAGTTGCTGATATTTAAATTGAAAATAATACACGAATTCCCCACCATAGTAGACACATGGCAACGATAAATAAAAATAAAATCAAAATATTCAGACAGATGGTGACTATGTTATTAAATAAATAAAAACAAAATCAAAATGTTCAAATATAATCTTCTAAATTAGTAGTAGATTTACAACTTCATTCAATCAAAATGTTCAAATATAATCTTCTAAATTAGTAGTAAATTTACAACTTCATTCAACTGAACTGTTTCTATTATGCTTGGAAACTGTTTATAAACGACCTCAATTATAAATATATAGAAACAAATGGTGAATAAGTTTGATCAATTATAAGAAGCTTATAAACGTTAGTTAAATCTATATAAAAAAATATAGCACTTTTATAAAAAAAAAAAAAAAGAACATTTGTAATGACATTGTTACACAAAAACGAATAAGGTATCCAATAATCAAAGAAAAGATCAATTATTCTACTAACCCAATTTATCCATTACTCAAGAGCTCAATTTCCACAAAATAACTTTAGCAAGCAATACAATGAATCAAAAAGATAATAATATCTACTTACGGATCCTGATGAAATGGCCTTCCATTTTTTCATTTTTGACAACTGTCATTCTTTGTGAGAAAATTCAAAATAGTAATACAATCAAGAGCTCAGTAGCTCAAATTTTCACAAAATAACTTTAGCAAGCAATACAATCAATCAAAAAGATAATAAAACCAACTTATGGATCCCGATGAAATGTCCTTCCATTTTTTCATTTTTGGCTACTAGCATTCTTTGTGAGAAAATCCAAAACAACAAATGCATAATATATAAGCATGGGATGAAATGGGTACTAAAATTTTTCCATGTCCACACATCTAGATGCAATTAGAATGATATCTAAAGTTCTGAGAAAACACATTTCCAGTTATTTTAACATTTCAAAATACGAAAAACTTACATTGATTTTTACCAAATGTGTGAATTCATGTGAACACAAATGTCCAACATCCTAAATGGGAGTTCATCGTAGGTTTGGAAAAGAAGAATACAAATTTCAAATCTCAAAACCCTCAACGATCGTCGCCTTAGTAGATATCAATGTCTTTGTTCAATTTAAAATCCTCCACAATCGCCGTCCTCACAAGAAGAATGAGAAAATATGATTTTTGAGATCAAGGAGAAGATGAGTTTTGTGAATTTGAAGAAAAATACAGTTTTTGGGAATTGAAGGAGAAGAGGGTTTTCAATTTTCAATTGGTAATGAAGAATGTTTTCAATTTTTAATTTGAGGAAAGTCCCAATTTCTTCTTCAATTTAATTTTACAATGTTTGATAGTCATTTTTATATAAAAATGCATTTTAGAATAGTAAATTGACGTGAAATGTGTGGTTGAAAATTAAGAAATTTTTTTTAATTTACGTGTAATATTATTTTAATAAAAAATGTATGATTAAAAAGAAAAGAGAGAAAAATGCATTTTGAAAAAAATGGCTACCAAACGGGGCAAGGTAAGTTTAAAATAGTCTTTTCTTAGTTATAAATTGCATTTTATTTTGAAAAATTTGGTCAAAGGCTCTTGGACAGGAGATTGAGTGGAGGCCATCAGAACTCATTCCCACATACGACGGCGTATAAACACTTCGTCTTACATAGCAGCCACTGATACAGATCGTTTACAGTGGTGCAGCAGCAATAATGGCAGCGTATATGAGCATGGGAGAAGCCCACCGTCGAATCGCCGAGTACCTAAACCGATTCTACGACGCCGTTTCATCTCAGGACGGAAAATCTCTTAGCCGCCTTTTCTCCATCTCCTCCGACTCTTCTCTTCAATTCCTTGCCGACGCCCTCAACACCTTCCAGGTATTTATTCCTTCTTTCACTCTTCTATATCTCTAGAAAATTCAGGTCTTTGAATTTGATTCTAGGGATTATGCGAGGGGCTGTTGTGCATACTCGTTAGTTAACTGTTAGGTGTCAATCTTGATACGGGAGAACAAGAAAACGTAGCTAACTATTAGCAAATTGAATATCTCTCCTTACAAGTTCTGCTCAATGTATTTGTAATAATTACATGTTGGCAGCGATTTCCCATTCCAGAATACAACAGTGTCATAGGAGCAATTATCAAGCCAACCATAGCATAATATGTTTCACAATATATAGAAAAATAAACAATTGTTGTTTTATGATCTATGTTCTGCCTTGGATCTATATTTTGCTGTCACAAAACTAGTACTTTTGCTGGATAGCGGTTCAATCTTTTCCACAAGAACAACATATGTAATGATTGGGCTTGTGATTTCCTACGTCTTTACATTTATCCAAAATGTGGTGATATGGGCTTGGGAAAAAGTATTTGGCTTATAAGTATGGATTGATTCAAGTAATTAAATGTATGAGTTGAAAGGTGGAAGTGACTAAAATGTCGTGCCTTATATTGGTGAAAGATGGATAACATTTTGATATTCGAAAGTGAGACGTTTGTCCATAAATTGTAAATGCTGTCTAGAAGAAATAAAAGAAATGAAGGAGAAATATGGGTAAGCAATCAAACCCATGTTCTTAGGCACTTATCCAACCCACGGAAGATGCATAATACACAGTGAAAAATGGGCGGCTGCAGGAGGCCTTTGCAGGTAGGTTCTATGTGTGGTAGGCTGGTGAAGTGCGGTCGTGGAAGGGTTTGGCAGGTAAATGGGGGATCCGAGGAAGATGACTGTTTTTCTTTTTTTGATTATTTTTTGTGTAATTTATATTTTTTACTTAAGATTATATAGTGTCAGGACAATAACACTGTTTCCTTTTTCATAATGCGAGGCCTACATGTAAGGCTGTCAATGGATTGAATTTTGATCCGAATCCGATGAATTAATGGGAGATGGATTTAGGGTCTAGTGATGCAAATTAATTATTAGTCTTAGTCAAAGTGTCGAAGAGTCTTTGTTTAGTTTTATGCAAAGTCTTTGTTCCAATTAATAGTGTTTTTAAATTTTGAGCAGTCAAAGAAGTCTATTAGTTTTTCTGGATTAATTTATTTAAGTTTAGGTATTCTAAGAGGATATAGTTCAATTTGATCCAATAACAATCTAATTCGATTTGTTATAATAATATAATATAACATAATTTATTACACATTTTTTTCATTTTGAAATTTGTATTATACTTTGACTTTTAATGAAGAATGTCAAAACCCATCAAATTTCAATAAAAATTAATATATATTATAATAAATTTTGTATTGTGATTGAGAATTCCTTCTTTCCAATAAAAAATAATATGTGTAAAATATTTCGAATATGATTATTGGATCCGTTATTCGCTAACATAGCAAATCGGATATGGATTTAATAGTCAAATATCCGTTGGATTATTGAATCGGATGTGGGCAGATTCAGACCAGTCGGTCCATATCCAATCAATTTACAGCCCAACCCACACGGCAAGTTAAAGAATTTTTGGACAATTTCCGTTGTTAGGAATCAAGAACATGAAAAAATGAAAAAGTCAAGGACAACGAAGCCAAGAAGCAAAAGGTTGGAGCGAAAGGGAATTAGGGATGAGGTTGGAGGTTGCAATTTTCCTTTTTAATATGATCAAAGCAGTACATAGATGCTATTTTTTGTTGGCAGTCCTTTATCTTTGCTAATTAAATCCCCTTTCAAAAGCCAATAAATTTCGAATAGCTCATTAGTATACTTATGTGTGCATACGTGCACTTCATAAATTTATTTTAGGGTAAGGTCTTCTACATAACCTGGACATCTCACGCGTGCATATTTTTCTGCTCCTAATCCAAATTAAAATATCTGATCACTTTAACATTTACAGCTGTCCTACATCCCAAATCTGCACCTTTGCACCATGCTACCTAATCTCCATAGATTACCTCTTTACCATGAAATATGGTCTTTTGCAGTTTCCAAGTGCAATGGTGGAAAACCCCTTTGAATCCAAATGCTAGTGGCTCAATAATTACTTTTACTAGAGTTGAAAAAGACTACCACATAAAAGAAATGCATTAGCAAGAAGGGTGGGGGTGGGGGGGGAGGACTTTTCATTTTAACTGTAAATTTAAGCACAAAAAGCTGACTCAGCTCCTTGTCAAATTGTTCCATTCAAGCTATGCCATATCCTGGGACTTTTCATTTTAACCGTAAATTTAAGCACAAAAAGCTGACTTGGGATATGCTTCGCAGCTCCTTGTCAAATTGTTCCATTCAAGCTATGTCATATCCTCCACTCTGTGGGAGTTACAAATGACAAATCAAGTAGAGTGAAGATGTGGCATAGAGTGGGGCATATTATCTCATGCCCTGAATTTTTCCTGCGGCTGGCTTTGGCTTATTAAATAATTTAGAAAAACATAGCAAAAAGAAGAAAGGATAAGCTTAGGAAAATGTACATACATAAATACCTATTCTCATATTTAGGCTTTTTTATGTTTTAGAGTGAAATTATTCTAGTCTTTTTCACTAGCAGAATAGGTATTCCTGTGGTACATAGGATATGTGGTTGTATTTGAAAGCCTTATCCAGAATTACTAAGAGTTTCCTATTATATTTCTATTCCTTACTTTTGTCATATCAGTCTTTTAGAACTACAATTACTCATGTAATATCTTTCGTTCAGTGGAGCTATTACTGTGAAAATTTGATACTGTATTGAGAACTTTCCTTATTACACTTGTGAGGACAGAGATGTCTATTATAAGCTTGGCATTTTCCTTTTTAATTATGGCTATTCATTTCCCTTGACTTTGCTATTCATATCAACAGGATGCTAACAGAATTATTAGACAATCTGAGAGCTCTCAGTATGCAGACATTATAGTCCCTGTATTCCGTGCTTTGCAAAGTTATCGACTAAGAAATTTGGTCGAGTCTTACCTGGCCTTTGAAAAAGCTGCCAAGTATGTATTTTTAGGTTGAATTAGCTGCATCTGAACTTTTCCCAAATAATTAAGTGCTAATGGTGGAGAATTACAGTGCTTTTGTTCAGGAATTCCGAAATTGGGAATCAGCTTGGGCTTTGGAAGCCTTATGTGTGATTGCATATGAAATTAGGATTCTTGCTGAGCGGGTAAGAGTTACATATATTTCCCCCACTGTTTCCTTGTGAATACATTTTGCAAGTGCATGTGTAACGTCACACAGAAACTGGCATGAAAGGAACTGATTTATGTTGTTGTAATTGAAGGCCGATAAAGAGTTGGCTTCAATAGGGAAATCCCCAGAGAAATTGAAAGGTGCTGGCTCTTTCCTCATGAAAGTGTTTGGCGTTCTTGCTGGAAAAGGACCAAAACGCGTTGGAGCTTTATATGTAACGTGCCAGCTATTTAAAATTTATTTCAAGCTCGGCACTGTCCACCTATGTCGCAGTGTGATAAGAAGCATTGAAACAGCTAGGATTTTTGACTTTGAGGAGTTTCCTGCCAGGGATAAGGTCACCTACATGTATTACACTGGTCGTTTGGAGGTGTATAATGAGAACTTTCCAGCTGCTGACCATAAATTATCTTACGCATTAACTCATTGCAGTCCTCTGAAAGAAGCAAATATAAGGTCTGATTAGGTCGTGCTTTTACTTTTTGTCTAATATCTTTTGAAAACCTGAATCCAGACCAGAATTTAGGATACTATAAAGAGAAGTGGCCAATTCGTTTAGTTTGTTTCTTGTTTATTTAGTGTATACGTCAGTTCCTTTCCTTTTATGCCAACGAGTCATTGAAATGCTCATTGGTAGGATCTGGAATTGGAATGGGTTCAATTTTGTTTTATTTATGTCCTTATGATTGAGAAATGCTAATGAAATTTTTAATGAATATATCTTCATGGAATATGATGGGGAATTGTTAATGATCATATCCTGTTCCATTCTTTTAAAATTTCAGAACTGACCTAGTACATTATTCCTTGTTTCATGTTGTTGATTATCGTCAAATATGCCTATTTTTAAATCCACTGATTATTATCAAAATTTTCTATTTCTGAATCTTGGCTGCTAAAGTTTGCTCTGGTGTTTCCAAATATTTGATGTAGAGGTAAGGAGTAATGCTGAGTCTATGCATACTCAAAGTACTAACTTTTTTTTCACGTTTGATAGGATGATTCTGAAATATCTGATACCTGTGAAGCTCTCAATAGGCATCTTACCATGGAATTCACTTCTTGACAAGTTTAACTTAACTGAGGTATGACCTGTCAGTTGACTCTTTAGTTTTTCATACAATATTATAATATTTTATTAAGAGCACCTTAAAGGGTCTCTTGGTATGTTTAAAAATTTGATGTGCGTGTGGTAGTTTTCAGTTTCCTTACGCTCCTCCTCTCTCTCTCCCCTCTGTCAGAACATGGTTTTTGTTTTTTTGATTTTTATTATTTTGAATTTCTATTAAAATCATTTAGTAGCAAAGCAACTAAAGAAATACATCACTAAAGCAAACGTTGCTAATTAATATTCCATTCGTCTATAATTATGCAATTTATCAGAAACCATTATCCAGTGAACAATCGCAGATAATATCTTATAGTTAAGTGTGAAGCGAAGAACGCAAAAAACAAATTTAGAAACCTAAGTCCAAAAGAAGTGAAATTTACATATGATTTTTTACCACTGCTGTATAACACGCCATTTTATCATTTTGTTCTTTTGTAGTACAACAATGTTGTGCTTGCTCTTAAAAGAGGCGATCTGCGACTTCTAAGACATGCCCTTGAAGAACATGAAGACAGGTACTTGAAATTTCTTCCTCTTGTACTATCAGTTATAACACTACCATCTTTCTAAGTATTGAAACCTCTACATCAACAGGTTCTTAAGATCTGGTGTGTATCTTGTCCTGGAGAAGTTAGAGCTCCAAGTTTACCAACGACTGATAAAGAAAATGTAAGTTCCCATTGCACACAGCCTCATTAATTTAAACGAAAAAACTTGTCGTATTACCCAATTTGTTTCACCCTTTGTTTGTAGATACCTCATCCAGAAACAGAAAGATCCAAATAAAGCTCACCAGATCAAGTTAGATGTTATTGTCAAGGCATTAAAATGGCTTGAGATGGATATGGATGTTGACGAGGTAATTTTTCATTTTTGCACTGATTGAGTAAACAAGGCTTAGTTGTTTTGTAGTATATGGCTTGAGCATCTCTAGTTGAGTGGCAGCCACAATTTCTCTCTTATTTCGATACATTAATTGGTGTGTTGGGTGGTTGTGCAGGTAGAGTGCATAGTTTCGATTCTAATATACAAGAATCTGATGAAGGGGTATTTTGCTCACAAGAGTAAAGTGGTTGTTCTAAGCAAGCAAGATCCTTTCCCCAGACTAAATGGAAAACCTGTCACTTCATAGAGATTATAGTGCATTTCAAATTGATTCCCAAGGTAAGGTAACACTAATCATGCTACATGTATATCAAGTTTGACGTCACGTGAGTTAGCAGAATTTTGTACATTGGTTTTAACAGCACTTTTTCCAATCAATGACCAAATCTCCTAATTGTAGGGGTGTTGTCAAAGAAAATGTCAACCAGAAGTGTACAATAAGCATAATTCAAGGTAACACTGACATAATAGGAGTGCCTTCTCTCGAGTATGAAGATGTAACATAAGTAATGACTTTCTTAGCTTCTTGATTTATGGTCTTAATTGATCTGGAAAAAAGCATCAATTTATGGGGGTAATGTTGCAGCCTCTGCTAGCGCTCTACATTGTCATCAACAAATAGATTTTATAAATTCACTTTGTTTGATAATTTATTCCCTTTCTTTCAAATTTGTCGGAGAGCTCTGTTTGGCCAAGTTAATTTTCATGAGATCTTCTTGATTGTTATTCAAGAGGGTAACGAAACCACTTTTCCACGCACGGCTGCTCATATGAAATAAGTAGCTTCCATATAAATGTAAGAATTTTTGAATTTAATAATATACGTTTGTTGGCATTCCAGCCTTCAAGAAACTAACCATCTACGAATACTATTATTTGTTTGACCTACTCTACTATAGTGCATTTTAAAACTACACACAGGGAAAAGTGTGTATTCGGTGTTTGGCAAAATAAATAATATCAAATGATCGAAAAGATATTTGAATGATTGTCAAATAAGACTACAAATTAATACGTATTTTTAATCGAATTTAGTTTAAATTTTTTATAGTATAAGAACATTATAAAATGAATATTCATTTGGCTATTAAAGCATGTTTTTACGTTGTTCATAATTAGTTTAAACTATAGATAAAATAGAAATGAGCAATGAATAAGTTTTTAGTACATGTAAGTGTCAGTAATATGATTTTGCTCCAATGCCCCAATTGAAGTTTTGCTTTCCTCCAAATATAAGAATTACCGATTCTAAATAAGGTAATTTACAATGAATCTTCTATACTAGGAAATAATGTGATTATTTACAATCAAATCTCCAATTTAAAGAAATAAGCACAAATAGTCTATAATTTGACAATCCATTGACATCTTCTTCAAATTGATGCTAGGCAATTGAGAAGTATCAAATTGTCAATCATAAACTAATGGTGATGATGAGATAAAGCTTTGACAAGGACAGCAACTGTTTGATGTTCAATAGAGACAAGGAGAAGATAAATCTCTTGAGATCAGGCGCTTCACAAATAGAATGACAATCCACTTTAATATTTTTGACATGCTCAAGGAAGATTGGATTACTAGCAATTTGAATAGCCAGCATTATTATCATGGAGAGGAGTATGAGAAAGTTGTGGAATACCAATTTCTTCCAACAAGCCTCGAAGTCATATGATTACAGAACAGGCTGACGACATGCCCCGATATTCAAACTCAGTGGAAGATTTAGAGACATGAACATTCTTCTTACTTTTCTAAGAGATAGTGGTACCACTAAGAAACATACACCACTTGGTGATAGAACGATCAGTATTAACACAACCAATCCAATCCACGTCACAAAATCCCACCAACTGTGAAGAAGTTTTAGACGAAAAGACCAAATCGCGACTAGAGGTACTTTTGAGATATCGAAGAAGACTACAGACAACAGCTAAATGGGTCTGGCAAGGAGATTGCATAAATTGGCTTATCTGTTCGACAATAAAGGAAATATCATGTCTAGTAATGGTCAAATAATTCAAACTGCCTACCAATACATTGAGGAATTTGATTAGAAATCACCACCCTCGTAGCACAACTTTAAATTGACCTTCATAAGTGTAAGAATCGAATTACTGTACTGAAGACTGGCTAATGAGAGTAGCTTTTGCGGATACTTATGCTGATGCAAGAGTATGCCAAATGAAGAATGTTGGACCTCAAGTCAAAGAAAGTGTTATAGGAGACCAAGATCTTTCATATGAAAAGAAGAGATGAGTTGTTTTTGGAGTTGCTGAATCAACTAAAGATTAGAACCTGTAATCACAATATCGTCTACATATACAAGAAGGATAACCATCCCAGTGGAAGTTGTGCAAAAGAAGAGAAAAGAGTTATACTGACTATGAGTAAAAGTGAATTCCAGAAGAGTAGAGCGGAATTTCTTAAACCAAGCCCGCGGTACCATTTCAAACCATATAAGGATCGCTTTAAGCGAAAAACCTCAGTAGATAGTGAAGAGAACACGCCAAATGGAGGAGTCATATATATTTCTTCCTTTAGATCTCCATACAAAAATGCATTTTTCACATCCATATGGCGATGTGGCTATCCTTTCGAAATTGCAGTGGCAACAACTATGTAGATAATAGTGATCACAAAACAAATGTTTTCTCATAATCAATGCCATACTCCTGGCGATCTTTGAGTGCCACCAAACGAGCTTTATATCTATCAATAGATCTATCAGCGTGCAACTTGACAGTGTACACCCATTTGTAACCCAGAGGCTTGATCCCAAGAGGACAAGTAATGATATCCCTAGTGTGATTATCTTGGAGAGCCTGAAGTTTGTCTTTCATAGCCTGTCATCAACATTCTTGAGTAGAAGCTCAAGAGTAAGACTTTAGGTACAACAGTATTATCAAGAGTGTCCTAAAGAGCACTATGTGAGAAAGCATACCTATCTAGTGGCCGTGTGACTCGAGTAGATCAACGAGGCTCATGTAACACAAATTCAGGTGTTTGATTAGACATAGGAAGAGGTTATAGACATCGTCGCTGATACACAATACCTGGTTTAAAATGATTAACTATTCCAGATACATCATCAAAAGAAGGAAGGGAAATAGAAGAAGTAATCGGATTATGACTAGAGGAAAAAAATTATTGATTTTTAGAGAAAACAACTTTTCTAGAAATATAGAGGTTGTTAATATTTGCATTTTAACATACAAATCCTTTATTGTGAGAATTACTATAAACCAAGGAAAGTACAGTGAACAGATTGAGCAGCAAGTTTATGATATTCAATGGGAGGTAAGTGAACAAAACATACACATTCAAAGAGGTGCAAAGAATTATAATCTGAATGAATACCAAATAAACGATAAAATAGGAAATCAAGATTCAAGGTCAGGCATGGCAAACGATTATCAAATATACAGCTGTAAATAAAGCTTCCACCTAAAATCTAGTACGAACAGAAAATTCAAGCAGTAGAGTATGGATAACATCTAAAAGGTATCGATTCTTGGGAATACAATGACAAGAATGATGTGAAAAAGGGCCCTTCTTTTGTAGGAAAGATTTAAAATCACGAGACATATATTCTACACTAGAATTGGAGTGCAAGATCTTAATACATGTAGAAATTTGTGTTTCCATATAGGTAACAAAAGTTTGGAAGGTAGAAAACATATTAGCCTTAAAACGAAGAAAAAAGACCCAAGTGAATCTACTATAATTGTCAATGAATGTCTCAAAGAACCTGTACTGAACATGAGAAAGAACATGATTCATACCCCAACATCAGTATGAATAATTTAAAAAACACATAGAAGCTCGACTACCTCTTAAAGGAAATGCTAAGGATTTGCTTTTACCAAGTTTACAAGATGCACAATTAAAATACAAGTGGGATGAAGAAAACTTATTTTTATTACTCAAATAACCATGCTTTATTAAATGTGTCAAGACAATAGAATTGGGATGTCCTAATTTTTTATGCGACAAATGGCTATTAATAACAATCGTAGAATAACCAACATGAATAGAATGAGAAATAAAAAATGACTGAAGAGGAAAGAAATGTCCCATTTTAGGCTCCTTTGCTATCACCTGCCCTGTCACTTGATCTTGTACATGACAGCCATTGTGATCAAAATAAAGAGAAGAATTATCGTCAACTAATTGACCAACAGACATTAAGTTGATAGACAAATGAGAAGATACAAAATCATTAGTGGAGCAAGGTTCCACTTTTCAACATTAGTAATAGTAAGAGCACTATCATTGGCTATATGGATGCGTTGCTCTCCATCATACTTACGAATATTATGTAAAGCTGTCATATTGCTGATCATGTGATTGGGAGTGGCAGAGTTAATTAACCTACAAGAGGTACATAGCGGATTCTTACCTTGAAGACCAAGGGATAAGAGAGCGAAAACAATCATCTGTTGAACATGCTTGGATGTAAGGGTCGAAGAAGTACTAGAGGTGGCAACATGATCGGAATATGTAGTCTCATGGTTAGGTTGAACAGTAGTATGGAAAGCAGAAGTGATTGATTCTTAGATCGCACACAATGCTCATTAATAATATGCCGTTCCTTTTTGCAATAATTGCAAAATTTCTTGGTACATTGTTTTACAATGTGTCCCAACTCCTTGCAATGGTAACATTATAGAGATCTGGATCGTCCTGTACCTTAACAGTGTAAACCACGTTAATCATCTCAGTACTAATAGTATATTGATTAATGTCAAGTTGTGAGGCGAGACGTTGTTCTTCACTCGAAAGTTCTTCCAAGCAAGATTGAAGTTGATTAATCCAATGCGTGCATTTTTCAACTCGGGTTGTAGTTTAGATTGTACCAACCTAGAATATTCACTCCATAAATTAAGAAACCCTGAATAAAATTGTTCAATTGATAGATTCCCTTGTCGATAGTTTCCAATGTCCAATTCCAATTGAAATTTTCGTGCAAAATTATCTTGATAATAAACTTGTTGAAGACAATCCCACATATCCTAGTGGCCGTGAACAAACGAGATTGTTGACCATATATAGTTCAATATAACTCAGTAGCTAAAAAACAATCCAAGCATCTTTATTCTCCCATGAACTAAGCTACTTAGAATCTATAGGAGCTTGAAATGATCCATCCACATGACCCAACAATTACTTACCCTTAACAAACATCTTGAATTGAAATTCTCGAGCAAAAATTTCCATAAAAACAAATAATTGAATTTTCTCCTTACATGATAACTCAAAATTAATCACAGCTTACCATCCGATCAAATAATTACAGACAATTAAATAAAAACTTAAAACAGCCCAAAGCACCCAGGCAGACCAAATATTAGTAGCCCAAAACAAGACCTCAGCCCAATTGAAATATAGACTTCACAAAACAAACAACCTAGTTGAAAGATATATTTTAGCTCCTTTGCAAAACAAGTAAAATCCCTGAAATCCCCTACAACGATTAGCACAGGCACCGCAACACCAGAAAGTTACCGATAGAAAGTAAAATCGCCTCTACCACAAACAATAAACTTCGGAAGCTTACTCAGAAGAGAAATTGAAGCAGACTGCTAATAGTCTAGCGATTCTGATTGAATGCAGCTCAAATAAATCGCCAACACATTTCACAAGGGATCGCTTAATTCCTGCA